ATTATTATTATTATTATTATTATTATTATTATTATTATTATTATTATCATTATCATTATCATTAATAAGAATAAGAATCTTATCATTGTTCTTATTTTTATTGTTGTTGTTATTATCATTATCATTAGAATCATTATCATTATTTTCAACATTCGGCATTGGCCTTATTAGAATCATTATTATTAAAATTCTTAGCTTATTATTATTATGTATGTATTCTTTCATACATAAATTAGTGAATACATAAATAAATAAACAACAAAAACAACCAAAATCATGGATTTCCGAGCTGTGTTTTCACTCCAAATCGTCTTCTTCTGTTCCAGTGTCACACTGAAGAATAAGAGCCAGACCTGCCTGGACCCCAGAGAGTCTTTCACAAAACTCCTCCTGAAGACGCACAAACAGTGAGTCCCGTTTATTCTCCCTTTGGGCCCGATTAGCTCAGGCCTGTTGGCCCAAAAGAGCCAGGGTAACACCTTTATATGCTTCTACTGGTCATTATCAACCCTGTTTGGTCCATTTTCTGTTAAATATTCTTTTTTTTAAAAGTAATTCTCACTCAAAGTTTGGCCAGAGACCCAAAACATGAGTTGCAGGACACATATGGGAGACTTTAAAGAATAATTAAATCATTTAAAGTTAATTTAACCTTCTATTTGGCATTTCAGGGCCTTAAAACTCCCTAAAAGCAAACTAATAACTGCTTAAACTTAGATATTTCAAGCATAAAATAGGTTTAGCTGCAAATTATGGCTCGATTTTTTAAAATTTTCTGGCAAATATTGATTTTCAGTTATTATTGTCTGAAAATGGACATTAAAACATGCAAAACAAAACAGGATGCAACTGAAAGGCCTTTTTATCATTAAAAATCTTATTCTTATTCTATCTCTTTAATTCTAGTAAACAGATAAGAAGCTTTAAACATTTTAAATTAAAGTAATAAACTCCAAAGCTGACCCAGAATGACTGACGGTGTTTTTTTTTTGTTTTTTTTTCCCGACAGGCAGCTGGCGGCGCGCGCTAAGCTGAGAGCCGCGAGCTCGTCTCCGTCCAGGGCGCCGGAAACGACGTCAGCCGTAGCGATGACGTCATAAGCCAGCGCCAGAAAGAAGAGTGTCGACACGCTGTGAAGTTTTAGTTCTCGGTTCTCGTGTTTTTTTTAGCTCCGATGGAGCAAAAAGCCTCTATTTGGATTATTATTATTATTATTTGGATCTATTAGGAATGATACATTCAGTAAAAAACGTCCCTTTTTTCATGTTTTACCCGTCAATGTGTCAGTTTATACTAAAATATGTCTATTTTTTAATTTAAGTGACCATCGCTTTCGTAAAACAGATTATTAATGTATTTTTTTTTAATTGTTTTTTATTTAGTCAACTTTTTTATACATTTATAAACATATGTATACATATATATGTATATATGTTGGAGTGAATACAGAATATGTTAAATGTGAATGTTGTGCCACTACTTGCCATGATGAAAAACAGATGAAAACCTATAATAAATGTGGATATAAATTATATGGTGGTTGTTTAAGTGTAATCTTTGCTCCTTTAATGGTTTGAGAATCGTTTCCCGCTTTTTTTCTGTGTGTAAAATGTCAGGAAGCAGCTGTTTCTACCTTTATTTTATCCTCCTTAAGGGAAAAGGGGAGCCTCTGTTTGGGTAAACAGGGAGAAACTCGTTTTTTAGTTTTGGGCCAAATGACCAATTTTGATCCCTTTCACAGGATTTAACCTCTTACAATTTTGGCATTTCTCCCAAAACTCCTAAAAAAGGTGTTTGTTTCTAGTAAATCTGCACATCTAGCAGATATTTCTTAGGTTTCTCCACATGGACTGTGTGTTTTTATGGATTTAAAGGTTTTTGAAGGACATGATCAGCAGGTCAGAGCAGTTTCTGTTCCAGTGATCGAATTAATTCATGATTTTGGAGTCAATGTCTTTCCCACAGTTTAAGGAAAATGATTTTAGACCCATTTGGATTTTTAAACCACTTATAATTTAGGAAATTTCCCCTTAAAACTGGACTAGTCCTGAATTGAATGCCCCCTGAGGGGTTAAAATATTGTTTTTCAGGGCTCAGATAAATAAATATGACAGATTCTGACCAATAAAGAAGCAGCCGGAGGAGGTTAGACTTTCTCTGGGGTCAGAGGTCATCTTTTCTTGGTGTAAATTAGAAAATAAACAATTGTTAATGTTAAGACGTGGGAAGGAAACACACATAATCACAACTTTGATCTTAATTTGCAGCCTAAGCCCGAGAATGAAATAAAAACGGCGACAAAAGACAGAAAAATGTCTTCTGATAGCTTGCTGTAACCCTTAAAGCCTGAGAGGGTCCCAGAAAAGAGCAGAAAAGATACAAAAAAGAAGATAGTTTCAACCTCTTATGTCGGTTAGTACGTTTGTATTATCTGACATCTGATTCCTAACTGAGCTCAATCAACAAATTCTGATTTTACAGAGTTTAATGACACATTACCATCATGATAAAGGTGTTTTTTAACACTGAGATTCAGTAGAAATAATTATTTTCTGTTCATGACTTGATATAGTGAGACTGGTATTAGATTTTAGAGGCTCGTTCTTCAGTTTAATGTCCAAACAAACTTGTTTGCGAGCATTTAAATCTGTTTTTTTCTCCTAAAATAGCCTCTATTACCTTTTTTTAACTGCTTTTCAACTCGTAATGCTGACAGGCAAAACAACACAGGGATTATTTTTTTATTTGATTACTTTTTTTTGGGTGTGTGAAGGCTCTTTGGTTGTAAAAGTCCCTTGATGTCTGCTTTTGAAGGGCTGAGTCACCCTGTCGCCCGTCATGTGTCTGCAAATATTCCCACTTTCATCTCAGATTTATGACTTTTACATCTGTCATCCTCATGTCATCGTGAGGGAGCAGATTTCTCAGCCAAATCACAAACCGCCGCTCAAAACACGCTTTTTAGCCACAGAGTCTGAGGTGGCTTCCTCACGTCTGGAACCAACAGGTTTCACACTTTTTTAATCCAATAATCCAACTTTTATTAATCTAATAACCATTTATTTAAGATTCTAAATCCTTCAGGTCACACGTGGATAGCTGTTTCCCTGTTTCGGCATCTCTCTTGTTGGTTTTTGGGGATTTAAATCTGCCATTTCCGTCTGTATCCGTGGAAACCGGATGGTTTTAGTCTACAGATCCAGATGGGAACACAGAGATTTTTTGGGTCATTTTCACATTTTCAAGCTTCTGTGACCAACTTCAGTTGTTTTTAATAGAGCTGGCTGACTAAATTTGACCTCTCGCTTTGATTTCATCAAAGAAAATGAATAAACTGGATGATGGGAAGTGCAAAAATTGAGTGAATATTTCATTTTAGCTCAAGCAGGTATCAGAAAAATGCTGCCCTTCAGATCAATAATTGACAGCATCTTTAATCTTTTAATTTCCACATGCTGAGCCATGTTGGTTCATAATAACTGAGGTTTTTATTGGCCCGTTTTGCTCTTCTACACCTTAAAAACGGGAAAATCTGGTGTTTTTCCACACAGTCGTCCTACAATTAATTCATCTATTTGCAGATTTTTCATACTCACTTTTGTTTTTAATTCCTGCTTTTTAACCCTTTTGGACTCTCTTAACCTGGTACAGGCCGTATCCGGCCCTACACATGAACATGGACACACACTGGACCTGGTCATTACCTGCGGTCTGCCTGTGACAAACTTGGAAATCTGTGACTCTGTGTTCTCGGATCACCGGCCTGTTTTATTCACTGTTACTTTGACATCTACCTCAGTAAAAAGTCGCACTGCTGTTCGGCGCGGTCGCATTATTAATCCTTCCACTGCCACTCATTTTTCTACTGCTTTTCTTCAGCTCTGTGGATCATTTGACTTCCCCCACTTTGATACAGAAGAGCTCTGGTCCTGGTTTCATTCTTCCTGTCAAACCATCCTGGACTCGGTTGCTCCATTAAAAATCAGGCAGCCCAGGATTAAACCTGAGCCTTGGTTTGATGACAGAACTCGTGCTGCAAGGAAGGAATGTCGTCGTGTTGAACGCAGGTGGAAAAAGGATAAGCTGCAAGTTACTCTTCAGATTTTAAAAGACTGTTGGCGTCGCTACCAGAGCACAGTTAAAGAGGCAAAAAGGGAATATTTGGCAAATATAATTTCTTCAAACAGTCATAATCCACGTGTTTTGTTTAACACCATTGACTTTGTGCTAAATAGTTCCCAGAATGACTGCTTGGAAGCTTCTCCTGAGGTGTGTGATGATTTTATGCGTTTCTTTATTGATAAGGTTGGTAGTACCAGGGCTCGTATCACAGCTCCTGACTCTGACCCTTCAATCTCAGTCCCCTGCTCGGCTGCTTTCAATCAGTTTGAGCCTGTGACTATCTCACTTTTAGAGGATGTGGTTGGCCACATTAAGTTATCAGGTTCCCCCCGGGATCCTGTGCCTCCACGACTTTTTAAAGATATTTTTCCTTGTATAGGGCAGCCTGTTCTTGCAATTATAAATAGCAGCCTGTCTTCGGGTGTGGTTCCCGCTAGTTTTAAACAGGCAGTAGTGCAGCCACTGCTTAAAAAACCTGGCCTTGATCCTACCGTTCTGGCTAACTATCGGCCTATTTCGAAGCTACCCTTTCTTTCTAAGGTCTTAGAGAAAATTGTGTATTGTCAGTTGACACAGTTTTTAGATGACAATGGCATCATGGAGGTATTTCAGTCAGGTTTTAAAACTCTCCATAGTACAGAATCTGCTTTGATTAGAGTTTTTAATGATGTCCTTCTTGCATGTGATTCTGGTCACCATGTTGTTCTGATGTTACTTGACCTAACTGCTGCTTTTGATACAGTTGACCACAACATTTTAATATCGCGATTACACCACATTGTTGGTATTGATGGCACTGTTCTAAAATGGTTCAGGTCTTACCTGGAGGAGAGAACTTTTTCGGTGAATATTGGCAGCTCTGAATCATCTCCTGCCTCAATGTCTTATGGTGTCCCACAGGGCTCAATTCTTGGCCCTCTGCTTTTCTCTCTTTATATACTGCCTCTGGGTTCTATCCTTAGGAAACATGGGATTTCTTTTCATTGTTACGCTGATGATTGTCAGATTTATTTGCCCATAAAGCAGCAGGATGTACAGTCAATCAAACATCTCCTGGCTTGCCTAGGAGATATTAAAGCTTGGTTGGCCTTGAACTTTTTAAACTTTAATGAAAACAAAACAGAGGTGGTGGTGTTTGGACCTAGTGGCTCTTGTGTGTCCTCCTCTGTTGACCTGGGACCTTTGGAGGAATATTTTAAACCTGTTATTACAGATCTTGGTTTTAAGGTGGATAGTGAGTTTAAAATGGACAGCCAGATTAGAGCCGTGGTTAAGTCCAGCTTTTATCATTTAAGACGATTGGCGTCAGTGAAATCGTTTCTTTCCAGGCAGCATTTTGAAACAGTGATCCATGCTTTTATTTCAACTCGATTGGACTACTGTAACGCACTTTATCTGGGAGTCAGTCAGGCGCTGCTCTCACGTCTGCAGCTAGTACAAAATGCTGCTGCACGTTTGTTGACAGGTACTCGCAAAAGGGACCATGTGACCCCTGTCCTGGCTTCACTTCACTGGCTGCCTGTATATTTTAGGATTCACTTTAAAATTCTTATGTTTGTTTATAAATCATTGCATAATCTCGCCCCGGCTTACCTCACTGAGCTTCTTCATCCCCACATACCCCATCGGTCTCTCAGGTCAGCAAATCAGCTGCTCTTGGAGGTACCGAGAACAAAAAGGAAGCTCAGAGGGGACAGGGCTTTCTCTGTTATGGGCCCCAAATTATGGAACGACTTACCTTTGCAGGTCAGAGAGGCCCCTTCTCTGTCCACTTTTAAAGCTCGTCTTA